CTGCCCCTGCCCTGCCTCCCTCCCGGCCCGTCGCAACGCAGCTGAGATTTGTTCTCCGCAGCTGCACTTCGAGCTGATCTTCTCGCTTTCTAGTTTAGTTGCAAATTTAATTAATGTGCCACTTATTTCTGAATTAATTTTTGAGACATTAAATAAAACTGGACTTAGCAATCCCCCACTGAACTCGGCTTAAAAGCCTTCTGCCCTCTCATGCAAGTCCCACGTTTTACTGCCTGCGCGCCTTCCCTCGTGTCTTGTTAGTATTCAGCTAGTCTGATTTACTTACGAGAATAACCAAATGTTTCCACAAATCCTAATTATAATACATTTACTGCTTTTTCGTCAACCTCTAGCCTTTCAACTGTACCAGGAAGAACAATCCAGTTCACATTGCAACATTTAATTTATGTAATGCCAAGGTTCAGTGAGCCTCCAGTAATTCATTATTTTCCTTTTCATTGTTATTTTTGGGCTATTTGCCTGAGACAGCCAAATATATTGCTTTGTACAGTGTTAAATTTTAGTCCAGGAACCAGACGGTTAATTTATTTCCCACAGGAGCTTGTGCGGTGTTCTGAGTCAGAGCGAAAACAGAGGTAACACTGATACAGCAACTCAGTATTCAGTGCTGTACATGCATTGAGTAAATCTGCCTGGGCATTGAAAGTTTTGAGACCTCATCTTACACCTGAACAAGCTAGGCTTTGGCTTAAACCTCCTCCCCTTGGCAGCCCTTTTTCCGTGAGGTTTGCAGAAGCAATGCAAGGGCTGCTGCTCAGCTCCTTGGTGCATTTGGGGAAGGGCTTGCCAACAAAGAAAGGATGCAGGGAAGACAGGATACAAAATTTTAATGGGCTGTTCTTTAAAGTAGTGAAGCATTTTTTTGGTAATGAAAACAAAACATGAATTTTGAGGCCTGCGTGGAGTGCCCTGAGCTGTATTTCTTCACCAGCAAAATTACTGCTGGGGAAAGAAACTTGCAGAGTGTTGAAAGACTTAACTGCCACCCCAAAAACAGTGTTGAATAGTTTAAGGATTTATTTGACATTTTAGGGGGCTACTATGTTCCAAGAACAAACTTCAGTGCAGTATGTTGTAACCCTGCATGCAGAAAGTGTCCCTGCTTCTCTCTTCTCACCAATGTGAACTCTACCTGTGGAAAGTCAGTTGGCAAATGCAACGCTTTGGGAGCACAAAGTGAACTCAAACGACAGGCACATGCAGCTTCTAATGCAAACTCTGCATGTCAAGTTAACTCGTGGGGTGTAAAGCCAAGAAAAAGAGCATGGCAAACCCCACCTGATGCTGATTTACTCCATGGCTAGGTCTCAGGTTGGACAGAATGAAACACAGTGTACAGAAGTTGGGAAGTCAGATGTGTGCCGACTGTTCTTCAAGGAAATAGCATAGCAAGTATAAATATTAGTAATTTAGGGACACAACAGTCTGCATGCTGTCTGGAAATTAAGAAAACCTTTTGTGTCCTGTACAGGAGCGGACTGTGGCTGGAAGCAGACTCACGGGTAACTGTGCAGCTGCGGAAAGCCGTGTGCACTAAAGAGGTCCCATGTGCTACAACATTTTGGTTTGCAGTGTCTTGAAGGGCACCACAACTGGGACCTGCCGAGTTCGCGCACGTTAGAGAGCAGATGAAGTCAGCCCAGGGTAAGGGGGTGGGAATGGTTTTGTATTGCACAAATTTTGTGATGTTTGGTCAGAAATGAGATACTGCTTAGGCAGGCACTCAGGGAGCTCTGCTGCCTCCCAGATCTCCCCAGTGCAGTGTGAATTCAAGTCGCGGGGTGGGGTTGCAGCCCTTTTAGACCTGGCACTGTTTAGCTCTGAAAATGGTTGCTTTTATGAGCGGTTATGGTGCCAGCATCCTTCTGATGGGCAAATTAGGTTATGCCATCTTCAGGAGAAACTACTTGCTTATGACAGGCCGGTACGGTGCTTCCAGGGGTATTTGCAACAAGGTGGAAGTCTCAAGAAAATAAGAGACAGAAGGCAAAAAGAGCTAAACTTAGATCCTGCGGAGATGAGTAAGTCTGACCAATGCATGCATGCTTCTTCAGTATTCCCACCTTTTGCAAGAGACGCTTCACTTTTTAATTTATGAACACTTTCAAAACTTTTGTCCAAGATTTAATTTCCAGGCAGAGCGTTCATCAAGGCAGGATCAATCAAAACAGGTAAAGGAAGGCCTAAGGATTACCAGCTTGCCTTTCCATTGCCTCCATCTCCTATTGCCAGCATCTGGAGCGCTCCCGCTGTGCTTCAGCTCTGACTTCCCAGCGCTAGACACGTCTGAGCTGCAGCGCTTCCCTCCGTAATTGCAATGCGGTTGCCCAGTATCCCCTGGCTGACGCTCGGCACGTGCTGCCCCCCGAGCCCCTCGCCGGCCGGCTACGCGCTGTGCCCGGGGC